CAATGCATGGATTTCGCCAGGGCTCTGTTGGACCACACCAGAAGCTCTTTCGAGCTCGAGGTTCTGCTCAACCACAACCCGACAGGCGTGGCTGTGGAATCCGGGGAACGAATGCATTTGCACAGGCTCAAGCTCGCCATCAAGTACCGTCAAAAGAAGGTACTTGGAGTCCATCCACGCGGAAATATAAGTACTGTGCTGTACTCGACAAAAATGCGAATCCGTGAAAGCCTTTTGCTTTTACGACGAGATCCGAGTCGGCGTTTTGTTCTGCTTCGTCACCCGTCAGGCGGCGGAAAAATAATAATAATGCAGACACTTGCCCTACTGGGATCTGTCATCAGCAAACATTTCTATATGCATCAGAAAACAGCAAGTCTCGTCTAGTACATGTACAGAAATTATATCCCGTTTCTCAAAATCAAATTATGCTGGCGTGAATTTCATGACGAATATTGTCTTTCCGCCGTTGGACAGGTTTTCTTTTTATCGCGAGCATTCTTAAGGCATTTGATTATACTAGCATTTTTGGCACTCCTAACATTTCCCATCACCAAGAAAAAAATTCTGAGAATATGTATTGCATAAATATACCCAAGGGATTTTAATGAAAAATTTTTTTTTCAAAGTTCACGGCATACGTGCGTATACCACCCCTGGATGTACAAGTTCTGCGTGAAGTACCGAAAACCTGGTTTCAATTAACCACGCATGAAATGCCTTAAAAAAATTGAAGAACACATTCGATTCAAAAAATGAATGAAAGATTCTTGAAGAGGCTTTATGAAATTAATTGTCTCCTGTGTAAAGTGAATTTTCTTACAATAACGTCGAACTATAAATGTTAATTCAACCTGTTTTTCGTTTTCATTGACTTCTTTACTTGTTTTGACTTAATAATTGTTTGTTCACGTTTGTTTTTTTAATGAAAAATTCAGGAATCATATTTTTTATTATGGGAACTGTGGAAAATCGCGCAAGAAAATATTTATTTGAGTCTGGAAAAAGCATTCTACCAAGATTAATCATTTCAGTTTTTCTTCGACGTTTCTTTTGGAACTTTTGAAAACTAAATGAAAATTCACTACGACGGAATCAGTTTTTACGGCATTCTTCTTTTAAATTTCACGGTACAGTATATTTGCGTACCATCCCTGGTACCATAACTCCTTCATGACATGCCGCAAAAAGAACAAAATATATCTAAAGAACCTCTTTGATTAAACAAAAATTCTGTAATGATAATAAATGTGGAAGAGGAGTAAACGGAATCTCTCACGGAAATCAGGCTGAGTTATATTGACAATACTGTCCTAAAATAAAAATATTATCCCCAAAATATGAATCCTCAATCAGAAATTGAAATCGATAGAATTTTTTATCATTTCATCGTGTTACCTGAAGTTTGTAGCGTATCTGAAGGCATTCCAGGTTTTTAAAATATACGTTTTTAGTCGAGTTACTGCTGATTTTTTTATTGTTGTGCTCGCATATATTTATTCTTGCGTGTTTGTTTTTTCCAATACAGTTCGTAGCTCATCCGAACGTGCAGCAGCTTTTAGCGAGCATTTGGTACGAAGGATTACCCGGGTTTCGACGGAAGAATCTCTGCCTGCAAACTCTGGAAGTTTGCAGAATCGGAATCGTGTTCCCGATTTTTTGCCTGGCCTACATGATAGCCCCGCATTCGCGCATGGGGAGGACTATGAGGAAGCCCTTCATTAAATTTATATGCAACTCCGCTTCGTACTTCACCTTTCTCGGTGAGATTTCTCTCTGAAAAATGGGAAATCAAAATTCAGCTCGGGTTCCGAGATACGATTCAAACACTGGAACCTTGTTTCGATGCTGTTTAGGTGCACAGATATAATATGAGCTTTTGGGACTGTTTTTATTTGACTTTACTTCAGCTCGCCTGCCATCCGTTATTATTTTCGTGACAAGTTTAGCAATTCGTCAAAAATTGAAAAATGTCGAGGAATTCTCTGAATTTAAATTTTAAGCGCTCAGTTGGGTCACGTATTATATTTTGTTTCATGGCTCTTGTCTGTATCGCCCTTTTCTTCCTGGACTCTTGACTGATAACGAGATGAGCATAACTGATGTTGGAGTGGCATTTGATCAATTTTAAATCAATGAAATAATTTTTGTTTCTCCGGCATGAAACAAAGAGAGGATGCAGCTTGATGGATATATTCATTATCTAAAAATTGTGCAAATGAATCAGGTTTACTGCTGATGAATTTCAAGACAATGAAAAATTGTCTGGAAATAATTCAGCCCAGCAAATAATTTAGTGTAGCGAAATGCATGGCAAATGTGTTTCATGCCCAAACTGCCATGCATTTTGCGTTACACCTACTCAGGACTTTTGTTAATTTTTGCAGGTAGGTGTTTTGTAATGCTGCTTGTTGCAGTTGAATGAGAAACTGGTGTAACTCAAGTTATGCCTGAATAGGTTGGATCCAACGTTAGTTGGATTGGGTGTTGGAAAGGTGTAAGATATGCGCTTCAAAGAACAATTTGTTAAATTTAATATGCATTCGTTGCAGTATTTTGTATGTCATGGTTACATTTGCAGCAGTAACTGCAACATAACAAATACTACAGAATATTCCATTCTCACAAATTTTTGAAATATCTGACAATCATGTTCACATCCATAACACCTTCATTGATTCAAGCTTCTTTTTTTGTTTTTGCGGGGCTGTATCAAAAGTTTTTTTCTAAAATTCTTTGAGTGTAAATAATTTTTTTATACATAAAACATGCGATTGAACGATTTTCGTAAGAATGACCTAAATCTGATTTCGTGTCTTATGATATAATGTATTGTACTTCAATTTTTTGGTTGATTCTTATGTAGCTTCGGTAGCCAAACAAGATGCCATTCCAGGTACTGTATACTGAACTGCTTTCAAACATTCCTCGTAAATGGATTTTGCTCTAAAGAAAATAATTCGAGTCAATTTCACGAACTGTATGAATTAATTTTGAATCAAGAACAATTGCTTGAAGTCCCAGCTTCTGTTGAAGTTATAATCCACGGTGATTCTCCAAACATGCGTTGAGACTGTACTGTGTAAATTTCATGGATGTCAATCTTGGAGCATTCCTGTGATTTGGTTCCGTATTTCAGTGCTGCTAATTTTGGCATCACAAAGAATTGAAACTGTGATTGCCGACTGGTTCGGCCTTCAGTCACTCAAAGATTGGATCTCGACAGACGTCACGACGAAACGTGGAGCTCCGCCGACGCTTGTTGAGTGGTTAATTTTGGCTTGGGTCGCTGGTAAGTGACGTAAAATTAATTACATTTTTTTATAAAGATGAAATGCCGTTACAATGAACTTCTGTATAGGGACCGAGGAAATAATTTGCGCATCAAAATGTCCTTGAATCATGCATGGAGTATTTTTCAAAATTTTAATATTTTCCTTCATTCATACCCACTTTTTTATTTTTTGAATCGAATATTCTAAATTAAAATAAAATCTACGCGCACAAATGAAAAATTATTTTAAAATACGCAGTGTCAAAGTGTCTCCAGTCAAATGAGAAATTTTTTTACGAAAGCGTGTCGAACTATTCATTGATTTTATGTGTTTTTCGCTTTGATTGACATCTTCATTTATTTCGAAAATGTTCGTTGACGTTTCTTTGAAAATTTTGAAAATTATTTTTTTCTTGCGATTGGAACAGCGGAAAATTGCGAAAAATGTTTCAACAAGATTCTTCATAGCACTTCTTCTATAAAAAAAATCAATTCAGCATAAGTAATTCAAGCATTCGCTACAACGGAATTCGTTGTATGTAAAGCTTGGACCAGCATCAAATGTATATACTCAACGTTCCAAACCTTTAAAACTTCTCAAAATTGTCGAATTGACGATGCATCGTACATTAGCCGATCATGTCACGGAGAATGAAAAAAAATCTGTTCTATCCATTCTGTTCTGCAAATGTAACCTATTACTCTATTCTGGCATTAATTTCTGATTTAGTGTTGCTAAAAATGTCTTGCATGATTCATAGGTTTGATATGGAGTGAAATCAAGCAACTATGGGGCATAGGCTTGCACGACTATGTGATGGACATGTGGAACATCATTGACTTCATCACCAACTCGCTCTACGTTGCCACTGTGTGCCTCAGGATTGTCGCATATTTTCAGGTTCCCAAAATTTATCATTTATAATAGAAACGATTTTACTGAATTTGAAAAGCTGTACTCATCTGTTTATCTTCCTGATTTTTTAGGTTCAAAAGGAAATTACCTTGAAAACAGGCACAGCACATAATCCCAGGGAGGAATGGGATGCATGGGATCCCATGCTGATTGCTGAGGGACTTTTTGCTGCTGCAAACATATTCAGGCAATTATTGTTTACAGTTATTCACAGGCAGAAGCCTGCAATTTGACCCTAATCTGATGCTGGACTAGGATTGAATTGCAAAGTGGTCAAATTGCAAGACAACATCAAATGTCATGATTTCTGCTTGGAATTTGACATTTTGTGTCACTCAGAAGGTTGAATTGCATGGCAGAGGTCAAATTGAAAGTTGACCTCCCAGCAAATCTGACCATGAAATTTCAGGATGGTCAAATTGTGAGGTACCACCTGTATATTGTTTCCTTTGCACAAAAAATGCCATGGAGTACTCTTTCACAAGATCCAATTACATACTGCTGTACTCATATCAAGACTGACAAGTACTTGCCAGTCTTGATTTTTGCATTAAAGTGAATAGAAACTGTAAGGCAGCGCTCCCTAACCTGTATAGTACATGGACCAGCACCAGTCCACAGAAGCTGTTTGCCAGTTCAAAGACAATTTTCTGCAACATAATAAATTCATCAAAACAAGCCATAAAGTCTCTTGTCTTTAGCTGAAATTACAGGAAGACAATGGAAGCTGAAATTATATGTGATGAAACCAAAAATTGGCTTTTTCTCCTGATAACACATCAGAAAAATGTTCACATGCTGAAATAAATTGTGTTAATTTCTTTAATTCTGAGAAATCTTTCCTCAAGCCCACCTTTCTAACTTTTTAAGACTATAGGTGCTTCATTTGTTCTTGAGTTTTGCAAAAAAGCAGAAAATTGTTAACCCTTGGATGGCAGAGGGTTTGTTTTCAGCAAGCAGCAAAGTTGGGACTTTTCTGGGGCACACTGCATTTCAGTTTGACCCAAGCTCACTGAAATGCGCTCAAGTTCAGAAGGCCTAAGTGGGGAAAAATCTGGAAAGAGAATTTTCTATTCTTTCCAGGATTTTCCCATGCAAATTGTATGACAGGAATGCAGGAAAAAATGCCACAGGGATTTTTTATTTTTCATTCAAAATTTGCTGCAGGATTTTGAAAAATTTATCAGATTTTTTCCAAGCTTAGTCCTTGGAACAAAAGTAATCTTTTTCATTTCCAGTGCCCAGTTGCACAACATTTTGAAAAATTATGCCGGCTTTGCAGCTCAAGGATTCAATACCTGCCATGAAGTCTTTCATGCAAAACATCTTATGAAACTGTGCTGGTCAGCAGAAAATGTTTGGGAAATTTGTCAGTCAGCGGGCCCAAAAAGGTTGGGGAACACTGCTCTAAGGAGTTGCGAAAACATTTGGACATCCCTTCAAAAATCTTTGAAGACTTGATCATTAATTTTTGAAAAATATGATGAACTGTACCCTGGAAAATGAATACATGGTATAAATCATCAAAAGCAATCATAAAAAATTGAACTGTGAATCTGCATTTGAAATCTTGAGCTTTTTTTTTATCAAACGTTCTTTTTTTTTTCTTTCAACTTTTACTCACTCACAGAGTGTCCTTCAAGAATCGCCGTGGGTAAACCTACACGAGTACTGTACCGCATACTGTAACTCTTTTGGCTTCCGTTTCTTATCAGCAGATACTGCAATAAAAAATTTCTCGCGAAAAACGGTGAAGAGAAGGGAATCTTTCCGATGGCACCAGGAAAGTAAATAAATAAATGAGCAGCCAATCTAGGAAGAATAAGTTCTTTCGTGTTCATCCTGAGAAAGATCTCATATCAGATGACTGCCTGTCTCATAATCTTCTTCGTTTTTTGTTTGTTTTCCTATATGTATACACACACAGCTCTTTGAAGCTGGTGTACATCTTTTCCATCAACCCTTATCTGGGACCCCTGCAAGTGTCCTTGTCCAGGATGGTGATGGATATCCTCAAGTTTTTTTGTTTGTTTTCCTATATGTATACACACACAGCTCTTTGAAGCTGGTGTACATCTTTTCCATCAACCCTTATCTGGGACCCCTGCAAGTGTCCTTGTCCAGGATGGTGATGGATATCCTCAAGTTCTTCCTGCTTTTCGTGTTGGTGCTATTCGCCTTTTCCTGCGGCATGAACCAACTGTTGTGGTACTACGCTGACCTGGAAAAGAAGACCTGCTACTCACCGGCTGCCAAATGGTCCGGGTCTCACCTAGTGTCCACCAACAACGGGTCTTTGATTGCACCCCATGCCCCCGGGGTGGGGCCTATTCTCGATGCAGACGCCTGCATCGTTTGGCGAAGATTTGCAAAGTTAGTCTAGTTATTTTTATTTCACTCGAAACCCACGAAATCGAGGAAGAAGAAAATGAACTGCTCGTGTAGAAAGTTTGCAGGGCAATTGTCCAAATTTCAAGCATATTTGTTGAATTAAAATGCAATTTCTTGGAAATAACATCTTTTATTTTAGCAGCTCAGATGGACCAATAAAAACATGTGACGAGTTCATGAATTCCCCGCGGAAGCTAAAAACAAACTCAGAATGCTGCACCACAGTATTTAAAATTATTTTATTTATAATTCGAATGTTTTCCCTGTTTTCTTTCAAGTTTTCTTCACGTAACTCGCTTAGATAGATTGATCCAAGAATTGGAGCATCGCAGAAATGCTAAAAGTTCTCCCATCTTAATAACCCCACAATTGTGACTTATGAATCTCCGATGTCATTCTAAAATCATTGATGATTGAAAGTTATTTCATCACTGCTGCAAAAGGTTCAAAATTTGATTGTGCGTCATATAATGTGATTAAAATATCGAAACTCAACACCAGAAAAATTTTAGTGGGGCTCAAATATTAATCGAGTATGATGAGTAGAATTCCGATTGAGAGATTTTTTAATGTGAGATTGATGTGAGATTGAGCGAGTTAAAATATGGATTTTGATGATGCTGATGGAGTTTTTAGCTGTTCGAAAAGGTTTCGACAGTGTCACGAACCGTACTTGACATAATTAATCGATGGAAAATATGTTTTTTATTCTGATGAGGAATGCTCAACACTTGCTTAAATCTGCGCGGAAACTTGCTCAAAAATGTGACCTGCAATTTTGATTTAAAATTATGAAGTTGTTCAGGCATCCGGCAGATGTCAGTGAAACGGTGTACAGTACAGTATGTTCTGTAGAAGGTACAGGCCATACATTACACATAATTAAGTTCAAGCTGCCAGCTATGTGGCTTTATTTAAGTTTTCATATTAATAAAATGCGTTGATGTTTTTTCTTCATTTTCAGTTTGTTTGAAACTTCACAAACGCTGTTTTGGGCAGCTTTTGGGCTCATAGACTTGGATTCGTTTGAGTTGAAGGGCATCAAAAGCTTCACCAGGTTTTGGGGAATGCTCATGTTCGGCTGTTATTCAACCATCGCCATTGTTGTGCTGCTGAATCTCCTCATTGCCATGATGAATCATTCCTATCAGATCATCTCAGTGAGTACCTTCAGAAAACATGCGTTCATTTACATACATTTCAACAACAATTAACGCAAAAACAAGCGAGGAGCATTTAATGAAAATGCTCTCTAAATTTCCACAATTCTGAGCTCCGTTTCAAACGAGTGAAAGTTCTGCAAAAATATATAATTTGAAGTTCACTGAACTTCCGTTAACTAATCAGCATTGAAGCTTCTTTCTTGGTATTGAGAAAATATTTTTTGGAATGAGATGCGTATTAATTGACATTTTTCACGTTTTTTTTTTAATCCAGGATCAAGCTGATACTGAATGGAAGTTCGCAAGAAGCAAACTATGGATCTCTTATTTTGAAGAAGGTGGAACCGTTCCCCCGCCTTTCAATGTTGTGCCAACTCCAAAGTCTATTTACTATTTGTTGAAATGGGTGCTGAATCGACTGTGTGGGAAAACATCAGCCGGGAAGAAACAGTATTTGCAAACTGTACGAGTGAGTCTGTCAAAAAATTCAATGTTGTGCCAACTCCAAAGTCTATTTACTATTTGTTGAAATGGGTGCTGAATCGACTGTGTGGGAAAACATCAGCCGGGAAGAAACAGTATTTGCAAACTGTACGAGTGAGTCTGTCAAAAAAAACCCGGATATTTTGCACCCCGAATTCAGTACAGTACATTTTGTCATTTTACTTCTCCGTGTATTAATGCTCGCAAGTAAAATTATTTTTTTTGAAAATTAACGGAAGTTCAAACTCATCCTTTGAAATATGCCTAAAATGTTGGACTGTTCAGTCGTTCATAATTAAGCATCAATGATGTGGTTTGACTATGTAATCCTCTGAGCTCAAAAGGATATTACTGTCCGCGGATAATGTCATGAAATTTTGCGTACTGCTCGTAATATGTAATAATAGAATATAGGAATATAGGAAGATATTGTAATTCATTCCCCGTTTTCATAGTCTTTTTCTGCTTCATAACGGGAAAAATTGGAAAAAATCTCTTCGCCCTTCTGCGTAGACAAGAATTTGTATTTTCATTTAAAATACCCGGATCATAATTGAATCACAGCCATTTTATCTACACAAATTCCATTGATTCTCTTCCTGCCAACTTGCTTGACCATATTTATTTTCCTCAGCGGAAAGCGAAGCACGCGTCAGACAGAGACACGCGGTACCAGGTATGAATTTAATTTACTCAAATTTATCATTTGAAATTGGCGTTTCAACGAGAGAAAAAAATTGCAGGGAATCATGAAAAACTTGGTGAGACGTTACGTGACTCAGCAACAGTGCAAAGCTGATAAGCAAGGAGTCACTGAAGACGACGTGAATGAAATCAAGCAGGACATTTCCTCATTCCGGTTCGAATTGATCGAGATTCTCAGAAATTCTGGAATGAAAACTGGAAATGCTGGAGGCTCAGCACTTGGAGGTACAGTATTTGATTTTTTGTTGATAAATGAAGGGATTTCGAACGTCTCTGTTTTTACAAGCATTTTTATGATAAAAAATTGTATTTCTATATCCATCTATTTAAAGAACTGTGATGCAATGATTAAACCGCTCGAGCAGGTATAATTCGTATTTTACTGCATTTGCAATTCAGGAACTTGCGTATTTATCACTGCAAAAAAAAAATTGATACGAAATGCAAGTGTTGTCCTGTATTCCTTTGTTCAAATTCAAAATTAAGCTTATGATGAACAACTGTCGCAATCTATAATTACCTTCTTACCGTCTCTTGAGTGTGACATATTTCCATTTATCTATTAAAAGCGCTGTGATCCATTGATTTAATCTCCCGAGCAAGTATCATTCCTACATTATTTTCAATCCAGGAACCTGCTATGCGTATTTATTACAGCAAAAAAATTTTTATACAAAATACTAGTATTCCATTAATTGTTCGAACCGTCGTTGTTTAAAGTCAAAATTAACCGTATTATAGTGAACAACTGTTGCAATCGAATTGCCGTCTTTTCCGCTAATTCTAATGTGACGTATTTCAATCCGTCTATTATTAGCACTGCGATCCATTGATTAAACCTCTTGAGGAAGATTTATTCGTGCATTATTTTCAATCGAGAAACCGGATTGTAAGCATATTCATTTTTCAAAAATGCGTGATGGTACGAAATAAGAGTATACCTTCGTTTAAAGGCAAGTTTTCTCATTATATTTGAACTGAATATCTATACTGTACTAATACGTACGTAGTTCTTATGGTGGCCAACTGTTGCAACCGAATTTCCGTCTTCCGGTGGGTCATCGATTGTTAAATTCCCATCCGTCTTCTAAAAGCCCTTCGGTCCATTGATTGCATATATGCAGCACAATATAATGCATATATCGTCTGCGCAATAAGGATGATTTATAAATAAAATTTCCGATCCATCATCAGGAACCGGGGGAAAGAAGAACAAGCAGCGCGAACGTCGTCTGATGAAAGGCATGTTCGACATCAACACGGCGTCCATCAACTCGACCAAGTCGTCGATCGTCAGCAGTTCGTTACGCAACACTCGCCGGAAAGCGTTGCCACCGGGCACGAAAATCGCGAGCCCCGTGGCGGCACTCACGAGTTCCCTGACGATGGACGAAGACGTGGAGTCTGACGACGGCGGCGTCGGTGTCGGTGTCGGAGGCGGCGGTCGACAGCTCCGGACTGACAAGAAAACAGCGTCGGCCATCACGCGAATGGTGCATTTGGCGAGACGTGTCGGTGCTCAGTCGGCCATCACGAAACGACGCTGGGGCACTTTGATGGAAGCTGCCAAAACCGGAAGTTTCCTCGGCAGTCTTTCCAGACAAGTAATTATTTTGCCAACTTGAAAGTCCTTAACGCTTGAAATTCAAGGACATTTTCTGGCCCATAAATGTGCGCATATAACTGTGAAAAATAAAATCTAAAAAATTCAGAAATAATAAAGGCTCATTAAGACTACATATAGGGGCAAACTACCAAAATCTTTAAAAATGGCAGGCTTTGATTCATTGCGGTTCTTTCTGAACTTCCAGTACACTGACAAAAACGAGTGAAAATTCATCATCACAACAACAAAAATTGAGTTTTGTCATCATGCGCTGCTCTGAAAATATACAAATCCTACAATTATTTTTTTAATTATACCAGCAACCACAAACATGAAAAAGATGGAAAGGAGATCTTCAGAATTTTTTAATTGCTTCCGAACTCAAGACAAATATCAGGAATTGCGCGGAATTTGAAAAATCCTTTCATATATGTACACACTGTACAAATATGCCGAGGAAAGCTCAAATCATTATTCTATACATAGACATGGTATTTTTAAATGATTCTAAAAGACAGAAGAATTTGTCTTCTGTATGTCGGGATAATGTTTCAGTGCATACACAGTTCTGATGCTGGAGAACGATTACATTATTCATCCGTCTTAGTTTTCGAGAAAAAGGGTTCCTCATGTCTTCTTGTGAGAAAATGTATTGTCATTTTTGTGATTTCAGACAAAAATAATTTCCCACAAAAAAAAAATCGTCCTCGTATGCTTCTTGTTTTGAGTTTCCATTGATGGAAGCTGCCGAAGCCAATGTAATTTGCATTGAAATAGACTTTTTTTTAAATATAAATTACAAGTTATGTGATCCATTTGGTCTGAGACTCATTTTCCGAAAGGTATCAAGGGAAACTTGAATTAATTTGAGAAGGCAGTTAGAGAACATAAAGTGCAACGATTTGTCTTTCGGTTGTTCGCATAATGTTTCAGCATACATCAGTACAGTGTCTCGCGAAAGTCTTCAAGGATTTGGTCAAGTCATTTGTCTTAATTTTCAAGCAAAGACGATTACTGTCCTTTCCATGGAAGCATTTCTGTAGGACTGATGTTCTTGTGAGAAACTTCTGAGGGCACTCGTTCTGTAATTTCCTGTTGGAATGTTTTTCTGCGCGCAAAAAAAAAAAAAAGACACACGTACCATAAAATTCTCTTCATTAATTTATTCCGTTGCGTCAGAGATTTAGAAAAAGATAAATTGCACTGCAATTAGTTTTATTTCTTATTAAGGAACAGGGCAAAGAAGGCAGGAGACGACAAGCTCAAAGAAGACACACTGGTGACGATGACGACGACGAAGACAGAAAAACAACCGGTTCTGCTTCCGATGCGTCTACGACACCTCAAGTAATTAACTCAAACTTTCTCATAATAATAATAATAATGATGCGCGGAGAAAAAGACTTTTGATTGGCGGGGTTCAGAAATGGCCGCTGCGAAGATTAATTGCTGCCTCTATATAATTGCCCTTTATTCGTATGATGTGTGTCTTCGTGGGTTCACTCGCTCGATGGGTTCAAATAGCTTCGGAAGTCAGGGGTTTCGAAGGGTACAGTAATTCATTACTTCAGCTGATTCAGTCGTTGGGAAGGGAGGTGGCAGATTTCCAGCTCATTTTTATTTTCAATAAAAAACATAAGGCTGTTTTCATTTTTTTTTTAAATCCAAAATGCGATGAAGTCAATGATGGCTGGCTACTTTTTTAAGCCCTGAATGAGCGTAAAATTACAAAGGAATTCATGCTGAACGAAGGAAATCACTCAGTTTTCCTGTTCTGTCAATTTGCAGTGGTTTCGTTTGATTTCCATTGCTTTCATTTCATAGCAATCTGATTAATCGTGGTCATTACGATGATGATGAGGGAAGGAATCGTGTTAAGTTCCCATGCATAGGGTCGGAGCTGCCTCTGATTAATGGACCGTCTTTCATGATCATTAAAATGTAAACACTTTATTTCTAAGAATATGCACTCACGTATACTATACGTATACAGTACTGCATTTACAAAACCCTTGGAGCATTTTTGGTGCACTGTCAAATTATTTTATGGTACTCCGCAGCATTTCCGTTACGCCTCCCATATTTTCATGCATTCATGAAATTTCACTCATGCGAAAAACTCAAAATTAACTTCGTTTTCTGTTTCTTTCTCGTTGGGAAAGGAATTAAGCTTCGATTTTTGATGCATAGAAGTCATTTTTTTCAAATGACAATATACTCACAGCTTACTCATTTCAAGCGACATGAAACGTCGCTCATCAAATCCATCCTTTATTGTCAAATTATTGTCGAATTCAAAAACTGGTCATTTTGTGTCTTTTGCTATATAGATATTGAACTAATTGATTAATCGTGGTCATTACGATGATGATGAGGGAAGGAATCGTGTTAAGTTCCCATGCATAGGGTCGGAGCTGCCTCTGATTAATGGACCGTCTTTCATGATCATTAAAATGTAAACACTTTATTTCTAAGAATATGCACTCACGTATACTATACGTATACAGTACTGCATTTACAAAACCCTTGGAGCATTTTTGGTGCACCATCAAATTATTTTATGGTACTCCGCAGCATTTCCGTTACGCCTCCCATATTTTCATGCAATCATGAAATTTCACTCGTGCTAAAAACTCAAAATTAACCTCGTTTTCTGTTTCTTTCTCGTTGGGAAAGGAATTAAGCTTCGATTTTTGATGCATAGAAGTCATTTTTTTCAAATGACAATGTACTCACAGCTTACTCATTTCAAGCGACATGAAACGTCGCTCATCAAATCCATCCTTTATTGTCAAATTATTGTCGAATTCAAAAACTGGTCATTTTGTGTCTTTTGCTATATAGATATTGAACTAAGTATGGGCTTTCGTCGCAATACAGTAGACAGTCACATTTGTTTCACTATACCAATCCCCAAAGCTTTACCATTTCATATGTCATGACACTTTACACATGAATCCCATCCAGGTCAGTTTACAGAAGAATCTTGTTACAGCGATTCTCGTTATAACGAATGCTGTAATTGATTAAGACGAAGTCGTTTTTTTTAAGGTCCCTGCCCAACAAGAGCACAAAATGTCAAATGAATTATTTCATAAGGAATTTTTTGGTACAGCATAGCTATTCCATTGGTCCTATAATGGCTTCGCTGTAACGAGATTTTATTGTATTTGAAACTTCAGAAACGGGTACAGGTTTTTTTTCCACTGCATAAAGAACTAGGTTTGGGTTCTTGTCGTCGTTCAAGAATTAGTCGTACTTGTTTGTTTATCGCAATTACTCACACGTTTGTCTGTCCGTGTCTCGAAGAAATTCAAATCATGCCGATTTACTTGACAAAAGTAAGAAAGGGAATTATTATCTTTAGTATACGAGTGAGACCCCCAGATGCAGACATAACTGGTACATCAAGAGTGTCCCTAAGTTGAGTCTTGTTTTCCCGTAGAATTACATTATATAATTCTTAATTATTGTTTTATGGAAGAAATATTCTTCAGAATTACATCAAAAAATATTTTTTTCACCACTTGAATTTGATTCAGTGAATATCTTTTCAACCCAATAAGAACATTTGGTGCATTGAATAGTATACCATTGTACAGTTTGTTGAAATGTTGGCATCTGTAAAAATAACATCCAAGTCACAAAAAGAGAAGGAAGTCCCTCTGCGTTGCAGGTAATTTTTTTAATTAGCTGAATGGATGGGAAAGTGATGGGAAAAGTACAGAAGAATTTTTCTTAAATAGGTCTTAAGGTTGGAAATATCTGTTTCTTGCAATTAGGCCTAATAACAGTTAATTTTCCTAAAACTTATTGGCAGTTTTATCATGCAATGTCCTCATTTCGAGTCAGTGTCCCCATGTCAGGCCTTTTTATGATTTTTTTTATTGAAAAATAGATGTCCCCATGTCAAGGTGTCCAAATGTGGGGGTCTCACTGTATTTTGCACACATATAGGACGAGGAACTAGGCTTGGGTCCTCATCGAAGCCCAGCCCACGACCCTCGCCGCAAGCGTCGTCAGTGGCAAGAAACCCGGGCTCATCATCCGGGCACGACTACCGGCAAAAAGCATCACTGTGCTGCCGACGACGACGCTGTCGACAGCAATGACGGCGCTGTCGCTGCTGGCAGCTGGGACCCCATGTTCCCCGATAAATTGGCCGTCCGTAGGTCGAGTTCGGAACCCGTGCACGACGCCTTCTACAAGGCAGTCATCAAGGAAGGCGTCCTGTTGGACCCACTTTCTTCCCTGCGAGCAGCTGCTGCGGCTGCTTCCACTGCGACTTCTTCAGGGTGAGACATCTTGTTGTTGAGACTTCATTCATGATTTTTTATTATTTGTTTTACATATTTAAATCCCCGAACGTCAATCAAATGCACCCAACGTCACATTTGCCTTTAGTTTTCTGCAGTTGAGTTTTGCTCGGATGACGAGAGGTCTGAGTTGATGGGGAATATTGCACAGCTGTGATCTTGTTAATTGCAATCCCATTACTGTACATCTATTATTGGGCACAAAAGGCCACAATATAAGCTGATGTTGAGTAGTTTTGAAGCAATAAAACAAACAAATCAGTCTGGGACTGGACCGGAATTCTTATTGGAATTCCTATTTAAAAAGGGAATAATAATGTATTTCACACACAAGAATAAAACGACTTAACAAGCTTGGGCTTAAGGATAACTTGAGTAATCTCTAGCACACACTTGAATTAAATCTGACTGTGTTCATCAGAAAGGGAGAAGCTTATATTCACAATTATATTGTAGACCTTCACAAGGTTTTAATATGGAAATCAGAATGCAAAAAGCTATTGTCAAGGACACCGCGGTGCCAGGATGTTCCTGGCACTGCAATTTTGAGGAGGGGGAACGTTTCTAAGAATTAAGTACACTGAAGTATTTTATTATACACGGCGTGCATGCCCAACATGTATTACTTAATTCTCAGAAAAGAGAGGAAAAGCTGTGAATTTTAGGGCTGTAGAGTTTTATTGGGTGTAAGTTCATCAGAAATTTGAAGACCTGATCTTATTAATTACAAATCCATTGTTTAATTTTCAGAAAACACAGGAAAAGCTGTATATTTTATACCTGTGGATTAATTTGGCACTTTGATCTTGTTAATTGTCAATCTCATTATTTAATTCTCAGAAAAAAGGGGAATATAACGGCCTCCCTTTATTTTCCTGGAATACTATACATCAGCTCTGCCAGTTAGTGTCTTTTATGATTTTGCTTTAATCAACCAAAGAAATTTCACAAAAGTCAAGTGAATTAGAAGAAATTATTGTATCTCAAGATCATTTCTTTACGAAATGCTGTAAAAAATACAGAAGCAAAGCTCTCAATCAGACAGTCTCTCTTGCGTTTGTGAATTTAACTGCCTGTGTTATTTGTCCAAGCGTGAAATCACGATCAGTTTTGAATTCCGAATGAAATTGTATTCATTTTCTTTTACAAATCTGCCCCTAAAGTTTTTTGCAGCTTCATCATGCTTGGAACAAAATTTGAATCAGAAATTTCTAAATATTTTTTCGCACACAATATAGAGCTGTGTTAATTTGTGCTTCCCAAATTTTTTTTTTTTACTTCCACAGCGAAAAAAGAAGCTTCCTGAAATGTATTGACTATAATATAGATGATTGGACGACCAAAACTTAAACGGACTAACTTTTTGAAACTAAAATTGACCAGAGAATACTTTGGTGAAACCCCTGTATTTTGAGTACATGACGTACTGTAATTGAAAATATATTGATTATTTCTGTTCAGTAAATATGACACACATACTGAATGGAATACCACGAGCCATCAGATTCATTTTTGTTCAGAAAAATCCCATGGTAATCAATTACGGATAATACTCTTATTGGATAATCACGTGCAATTTGCAAAGCGGAATAATTTTCGTCATCGTACTAACGTAAATCACAAATTTGTTCTCACATTTATTTCTATGCCTGTCTAGCGATTTTTCGTTGATGATGAAACTCACATCGTCTGATGATTCTGACGAAGTCAATTTCGCTTCCATCGAATCATTCAAAGTCTTCTAATAAACTATTGACGTTTTGTTTCCTCGCTATATACTTGCTGATGAGAACTCGGGCATGAATTACTTTTTTTTTCAGAAGCGTCGAAAAACTTTCTGTTCCACAGCACTTATAGAGCTCGAAGAAGAAAAAAAGCATGAAGTCTCTTCATAAACGAGGTCAAATATAGGCAGGAAGCAATTACCATAATTACTTTAACCCGAGGGGTGGTTACTATTCAGGCGGAAAGGTTCCCACGCAAAGTTCAATAAGTTTAAGTGTCTTGAAACGCTCGGCGAGAGAGAAAGCCAAACCCATTACAAACAAATCTGTGTCCCGGCCCAGTTCCAAAAAGTATTATATGCGTATTATTACTGTTGAATTTTATTGAAGATGAAGGATAATATAATTTCGAGGGATTTCCTCTGATTGTTTCGTCTGTAGTATTTAGGGCAAAGCATAAAAAATCTGGGATACGAAGAAATTGTTGAAGAATTTTCGTTTCTTGTTCACTCTTATAGCCACAAAATTCTTTATTGAGGTTATACATTTCCACTAATTTCTACAAATCGATTTTCTTCTTATTGCGTTTCGGCCATTCTACAAATATTTCCAATGATTTTACAATCCCATGATCAGCTTTGGCAAAGTGGACTTGACATTTATCGCGGAGTTTTTCTTAAATTTCTTTGTTCGTTATTATCCGCGGATTTTCTTCAGCTGCAGCAATTCTTTTTAGATTTATTTTTTCCAAGTGGCGCGCCATTTAAACCTTTTTTTACGCACATATTAGAAAGAGTGTGAAAATTTAGGACTTTGCGTAGATTGTGTTTGAACGTTGTCTCTGAATTTTTAACGCAAATAATCAACTTTGAATTTTTGGTTGACCCTCGCGGAAATTTTGTTGCTAGGCACGAATTAAAGGACGGCACCGACATTGAAATCCGTCAAGGAACGTCATGAAAGTGATTACCATAGTGATTCAGAAAATAAAGGGGGGAAAAAACTTGTCCACACGTTCTTATATTCAACCTGCCATTATCGCATGAATTTCCAGCTCTAATTTTTCATTCAACATTCGCTCCAATTTTTTTTCTCATCAAATCGCAATGCACTGTAGGGTTTTATTATTATTTTTTAAACTCACCGCACCTCTAGACATTGTAAGCCGAGGTGCACACGTGGGCATCATGTTCGTATACGTATGCAGTATTCACATGTTCGTTTGGTCTTTCGTTCCTTTTTCTTTCCTTCGCACATCATCGTCGGCGGGTTCACTTTGTGGGAAAGTCAATAATCACGAAACCCTGGAGCGGGGGCCCCTTTTTCCCCGAATATATGTGGGGGGGATCCCCTTTCTAATAATTGCCGGCGCTTTTTCCGGGGCGACCCGACCGCAAAAGCTTTTCTCTATATGGGTCCCCGGATTTCAATTTATTCCGTCGCCGGCAAATAAGGGGCAATTCCCAGCGAGTGGTTCACTTTCAAACTCTGAACCCAAGGCGCAATGAAAATGTGAGTTCCTAAAAAAAAAGAAAATGGAAAAATAAATTCCCGCCTAATAGTCTTATTTATTTCAACGTTGTTGCTGTTACATGCTTCGATTTTACCAGGTTATGATGTTGTCTTGTTGATGTAGATCATGCAGCACAAATAGTAGTACAGTACATTATAAACACTTTTCAAAAAATTACTCAAAATTTTTTTGTGGAAGTGTGTTACTCATCCCTTCAATTTTGAACGAAGCTGCTTGGATTTTTCAACTACAGTACTGTGATTACAGTCGAACGTCTCGAAGTCAAATTTCAGGGGACCAGCAACAAAATTTGACTTGGGGAGGTTTTGAATTATAGTTTTTTTAAGGGAGGGTATGAGCTACAATCCTAAGCCTTTTTATTGGAACTTGGAACAATTGCCCAATATTGTAAATGATAATATTCTGGGGCTTAAATGGCTTCTTATATGAGTTGAAAGGCTGAACTTGGACTCGGAGGCAGGGGTTCATTTGGCCAATTAATAGTTTTCACTTCCTTTAAACACATCAATTTCTGTTTCCATTGATTTTTTTCTTTCCTGGGTCAAGAAAATAATGTCCAGCAGCACACAGCAAATTTGACTTATGGAGGTTTGAGAGGAAAAGTCGTAGAGTGATTTTTAATGTATTTTTTCCAAGGGGATTCAGATGCGGACCTGAAAAAAATTTGACTTAGGGGGTATTTGACTTAGGGAGGTTTGAATTATTGACGTTCACCTGCATCCTCATGGATAATTGAATTTCATTGAATTTGACATTGGTTTGTCGCTGGACCAAGGCTCGATTTCCCCCTTTTTGTGCTGAAGGACACAATGAACTCTAACCAAAAATCGAATATCGTATATTTAAAAACCTTGCATCTCATTCCGCATGCAAGAGGGAAACAAATTGAAATTTCAGTCATAAAATAACATCGTACTTTAATAAAACACTTTATCGAAAACTACCTTATTCACGCAACGGGTCTTCTTAACCTTCCAGTTTGAGAGTACGCCTTTAGACTCAACGAAAGTTAAATTTTTTTTGATCGAAGTTCTTAGTTTCATGGTGGGTGGAACGAAATGGCTTTTTTTTTTTTAGCCGTAACCGTACTTCATAAAGCTGGACTTTTACGGTGCATGGAACTTCCGGATTTCACATTAAAGAAATTTACAGTTAATCCATTTTCCCCCCATGAATGGGTTCCAACAGTAATGCGAAAAGCCCAGAAGTCGCCATTATTGTTGCTATACGAAACATACGAATGTGCTTCTTTTTTTGTCGTTTATTCAACAGTACGAAAAAAGTATTTTGAAACACTATGAATTCAGCTCCTTGGCGTAAAAACCCCTTTAGAATCCTTTAAACTTTTTTACAGACGACCAATTAGAAGTTTTTTACATTATATATTGCCCAGTGACTACGAACTTAAAAAGGAGTAAAAAGAGGTATTACCAATTGTAAGCTAGTCCCTAGCGTTTTTCCTGATCTGATTCGACACTTTTCCAAGAAATATTGGAAAAGTGTTCCTTTATATCTCGATTCTCGAGTATCTGTCTGGATGTCGGGGCCAGATTTTTCTGTTCCAAATGTCCAAAAGTCGAATTGTTCGTATGTCGGGGCATCGCACTGTTATTAACTCATCATAAAATGAGCCAACAATTTTAAAGTTTGATTTTCCCCTTTTGATTTTCCTTTATGATCATGAATCAGGGTGAGTTTATAATTAAACGATTTTTATTACCGTACTGGTGAAATGTATGCAGTAGGTCAATTTTCTCAAGGAATATACAAATTTAAAAAGGAATTTGAAAAAGGAATTTGATTTCTTCAGCTCCAAGTGTCCCAAAGTCGAATTGTGCGTACATATGTCGGGTCGTCCCAGGGAGTATATTATACTCCACTCATCATAAAATGAGCCAACAACTTTGAAATTTGATTTTCCCCTTTTGATTTTCCTTTATGATTATGAATCAGGGTGATTTTATAATTAAACGACTTTTAATACAGGATTTGTGAAATGTATGCAGTAGCTCAATTTTCTCAAGGAATATAAGAATGTAGAAAAAATGTTTTGACATTTTTCCATAAATTTCGGAAAAGTGTTCCTATATATCTTGAGTCTCGATCTGTCTGGATGTCGATCTGGAAGATTTCTCCAGTTCCAACCTTCCAAGTGTCCCAGAGTCGAATTGTTTGCATGTCGGGGCGTCGCACTGTCATCTACTCATCATAAAACGAGCCAACGATTTTAATTTTTTTTATTTTCCCCTTTCCCCCCTCAAAAAATGTTCTCCTGGGCTTTGCACTTCGTCTCGTTCAGAGCCTTCAGCAGCAGCCCGGTCCGCGTCTACTTCGTCAGCAGACGCTGAAGCGTTCTTTCGCGAAGGCCAGAGGTCGTGGTGGTCGTTTTGAAAGGGCGCAGTTCTTCCCACGAGCCCTTGCTAGGAACAGGGCCAACACTGCTGGTGTTGCCACCGTTGTCGCCGTGTTCCCGGGACGGCGGCAACGCTGCGACTTCCTTGTCAATCACGTCCAGGGCCAGGGCGTTCATGTTGCCCAGACGGCAGTAGGGCTTTGACCCGTAGCTTGGGCGGCTGTTCCTATACGTTCGACCGACCGAAACTTGACTACTCCTATATACTGAGACAGTTACATGTAAAGTTAAGGGCTTTTCTTTTTCATCAGAAAATCGAATGAAATTACCTTTTTGTTGTTGTTTAATTTTGCATAATAACGAGCAGTGCTGATGAGATGACGTATGCACATGAAATGTCGATGAACCAATTCTTAAAAACTTCATCTTATTCTGCATGAGGATTATATGCAAGCTGACTGATGCTGGCATTGAATTAAAGAGTCTGTCAACAATTCAACATTAGCGTGAAATTTTAATTTGAAAATCTTGATGAAATTACCTCTTTATTGTTCGGTGTTCTTTAGCTTTGAATAACGAGTGCTGCTGATGATGAAGATGAAAATGACGTTGCTTTAAAACTCGACGATTTTCCGTCGAGTTCCGCTGGGTCTGTCAACATTTTTAGGGCTTTTCATTTGAAAAATCAAATTAAATTACTTGTTTTTGCTGTTGTGCGTTTGATTTTGAATGACGAGTGCTGATGAGATGAAATGACATGGTATGTTGGAAAAATTGACGATTTTCCAGAACTCGATGTCGATGAACTATAAGCTGCTGCTGAAGAACTGATTGTACCTGGAGTCTGTGGTTTTTACTGGAATTCCGGTGACATTTTCAAAGAGAAACCACGCCCGAAATGTGTTTTTTTTATTTAATGCGGAATGGATCGATGAATTTTGATAAGCAGCTATTTTGTGTGGGTCCGTGTCAAGGTGCTTCAAGAAAATTTCCCAGTCTCAGTATAATGATGTGTAACGAAAAATTGAAGCAAGCTATCATGAAATGCGTTTATTTAAAGAAGCATTAGAAAATTATGTTGAGCATACTGAATATCTCAGTAAATCGTTTTATTTCATGTTGTACATTTTTCTATAAAAATTGAAGACCTTTGAGCAAATTATACCCGTTGCCTAGAAAAGAGGTCAGCAAATATCAACATTATTCGACCGGACGATGATGGTTTGCTGGCGATTTAAATGACACGCCAGGAATCTCAACTAATCCTTCAAAAATTGAATCACTTGGAAATTCGTAAATTGATTCATTTTACCAAATTACTGCATTTGATTTTTAGACGAAAAATGCATCTGGTTCATTTTGAAGTTATTATGGTACCACAGCAGTTGAAAAAAAATATTTCGCCAAACTGTGCCTGAAACTAGGCTAAATGTCCTTGATTTTCGAGAAAATCATCGTAATCTTTTCTGGAAATGTGCGCATAATTGGCCTCATTTTAATGTTGGGCCAAAAAATCCGTGCAAAGCTTTCGTGGTCTGCTTTTAATTTGCGATTCTTGAGCAGGGATTTCTCAAAGTCGGATTTAATTGCGTCAGTATTGCAGAATTTATACAATTATAGATGCAACTTACTTACTTGAATGATCCGTAAACTTCCATTACAGTTCTAAAAACGTAATTTGTTTGGAAGCCACTCAAAAAAAA